CCCTTTGTTAGAGACGGATATATATTGTATAAAATTGAATTGGACTCATTCTAATAAATTCTCTGAATATGTTTGGGTCTTCTCTCATTTGATTTTGCCTGTTGCTGTTAAGTCAGCAGCAGTTGTAGCATGGCCAGGTGTGTTAACCACACCCTCTGCACTTTCACTAGTGGTTTCAGAGGTGAACGGTATGTGAGTCTTTCACCCAGAAAGTTACAAAACCATCCATTGTGGCTCACAAGAATGTCCATACACTTCACATACCAATAATAATATAGCTAACTGGCCAATTAGTACAACACAGTGATTAGTGTTAGCTAGCTCACGTGATTGCACAAGGATTCATGTGTAACTTTTAACGTATCATTAATGTTTTGTGCTGTAAACTAAATAGATTTTTTTAAATAAACCAGTTTATATTTGCTAATAACATGTTAATTCATGTTAATGTGTATTTTCAGACACATATTACTTTTAGGAAAAATAGCCCCCTTGCATTAACTCTGATGATCCCCGAGGGGTCACAGACACCCTGGTGAAGACCCAGACTTAAGCATATCTGGCACACTTTGAAAGTAGCGTACTACATGTGGTCAAACTGTCCAGTTTCAGTAGTGCTCAACTGCTGGTGACTGACATTGAGAGTGAGTCACAAAGCTATCGCTAAGTTTAAATGTCCATATCTGAGAAAGAGTAATAATAATCAATGTTGATGCATGGACTGTTGGGGATTTTTGGGGTAATGCATGCTTTGAAGCATTTGGGTCAGCGCCACTCTTAACATTGTTTTTTATTTTCTGGACTTGCCTATATTGTCTTCAGACACTTTAAACTCTGATCTTGCTTAGTATAACCTTCTGTATGCCATCTAAATGTGTCTTTGGATATTGTATTCACCTCTATTGTATACTGTTCAATACAGTATTCCCTCCCTGGGAGAAAACAAACAAGACAGATATACTGTACGCGACTGTGGTTCAGATGAAAGCTGATCCCTTTTGAAGACGTTACAGTAGCAGATCAGACAGGACGACTGCCAGTGATACTCTGCTCCCCTGCAGGCTCTATAGAGTAGAAAGCTGCAAGCCTCAGAGCACCGCATGGTATCTGTGTGGATGAGACGGAGAGAGGAGGGGTATTAGAGTGCCAGGAACACATAGGGAATTCCTGCACGTCTGTCCTGATGTGTGTGTGTGTGTGTGTGTGTGTGTGTGTACGATGCTGTCAGAGTAGAGCTCACACTTCCTCCTCTCCTAACCTGCTAAACGGTCCCCTTCAACCCACCCACCACTCAGTTCTCCCTCTCCACATCAGTACGGGGCTGCTGTGACATCATTCATTCCCACGCACTCTGATTGGCTGGCCAGTGGAGGGAAGTGGATTGTTCCCGCAGCCTACAGTGAGAAATTAAGAGAGAGAGAGAGAGAACGTGGGAGGGAAAGACAGAGGTAGAGAGTATGTGAGAGGGAAAGAGAGAGGGAGAGGGACTAAGCAAGAAAGATTGATGCTGAGGCAAGCCGACACTGCACTGCTCTCACTGACACACACACACACACACACACACACACACAGTCTCACGCGTACACTCACATCACACTCCCAAGCTGCTTAACAGGCAGGAAAAACACTGAGTCTGACTGAGTCTGCAGCCCGTTACTGCAGGACAGGACAGAGGACAGCAAGACGAGAGGCGAACAGGAGGGTGAAACCTTCCTCCCTGCTTTGACTCAGAGCAACAGTTTCACCGCTGTCATCTCGGGAGGTCCAGCGCTCAAGGGAGCTCCTTAACGACACCTCCCCAAAATAAGAGAGGGAGAAGCAGCAAGGGCAGGAGCAAGGGCAAGTGTAGCCTCTCTCCCGGAGGTTGCCGTGAATGTCCTCTCAACGTCCCCATGAAAACAGGCGGGAACCAAGGCGTAGTCTGGGGTACAAGATGGCACGGCGGGCAGGGGGCGAAGGCTCCCCGAAAAAGAACACATCCCTCAACCTGGTGGCTGGGTTCTTCCACTACCTCCGCGGTAAGTGGGACAGTGTGTGCATGAATGTGTGTCCCCTATCGAGATGGAGAGTGTGAGGAAAAAGAAGGCAAGTACATAGTGTGTGTGTATTTTGCATGTTTGCAGGGTATGCCGTGATATTTAATGTGGCACCGCAGTATGGACTGTATGTTCCTACCGTATGTGAGTCTGTGCATTTTGCAGTGTGATTTCCTCTCTGAAGTGTTTCCTGCAGATATTTTTTTGGGGGGGCTGTGGACGCAGTGTGTGTTAAGCAAAATAGGCAGAAATTTGAAGGGGGCGTTTCCACTTTGGCAGAGTGTGTGTGTGCAGGGAGGTCGCTGAGCTCTGAGCCTGCAGCAGGTGAAGCAAGCATACCCAGCAGACAAGCACCAGCTCACTGCATGTGTCACAGCACAGCGGGCAGACTGTCAAAATGTTTGATTTCTTATCTCTCTGTTTGACCCTGTGGCGGTCCGCCTGTCTGCTCATCTGTATTTGGATACCATGCATTCAGCCTTCTGTCTGACTGTCTCACTGTCTGATAGATTAGATTAGATTCCAAGAGACATTACCATAATGTTTCTTTGGATTTGTTTCCAGTCATGTTAGCCATCCTATAGGGAAATGAGCAGAGAATGTATCAGAATGGTTGCTTTACACTTCATCTATAGGCAGAGCCTCTGAGACAACTAGCTAGATTTGATGATATTTCATTAAGGTCATCTTCACTGTGGGGGGTCAGAGTGAGAACTCAGGGACTGCAGATGAGACTAATGATGATACAGGCCAACACGAGCCGAGAAGGTAATCAAGTGTGTTAAAACGCTGCTGCGAGGCATGGTTACTAAGGACGGCTGTTTCCCTTTGTGGTATTGAAAGAATGTGAATGTGTGTGCTTAAGTGTGTGTGCGCAGAGTTCAAAGTCACCTCGTCCCTGAGACTGAGAGGCTGGCACCACACTCGTGCAGACATGTTCTCCGTCACACATGTTCCTGCTCCAGGATGTGGGGGGCTAAATCTTTCTCATTCTCCTCCAATATTACCGCCCATCAATATTTGATTACTCCTGGACCCAATCAAAAGATTAATTCATAGAACGGGAACCTGCTCAGTGGCACATATGACTTTGCGTGAATGTATCTGCATTATGTATGAACAGCTCCCCCCACCTCCCACCTCTCTGATGCACACACACCCCTCGCTGTTCACGTCTGCCCAGAGTACCTAGTGACACACTAACCAACTTGAGTGTAATCAAGCCGTCAGCATATTTCATTAAGGTAGAGGGAAGCACTGTGTCAGACGTCCTCTCTCGCTGATAACATGCTTATCTCAAGGATATTGCTCTGTGGCGCAGACGGGACAGAAAAAAAAACATTGCCACATGTGCCAGTCACTGTACATGATTGGATCCTTAGAAGTCACAGGCAGACCATACATCTGGTGTATGTACATTATAATGGGGTTCATGTGACAGCTGCACATGAATTTGTCGATTACAGATGTAACTGTCGCAGAAGTCCCAATTGTTATTGCACTGGCTGCAAGCAACAATGAATTTTGCTGTCAATAGGGAATCAGGAACGAGAGATTACAGCTGTAATGCAGTAGTTGGTTCTAAAAATCCTGCAGAACATACAGTTCTTGCCTCTATGCTGTGTTTGCCTGTGTGAGTGTGTGTATGTTAGGGATGGGATCTGACAATATTTTGTTGATACCAATGGCATTATCAGCTCTGCTTATTGGTCTGATTCTCGATCAATTCCATTATTAGATCCTGATGAATATTCTGAGTGGAAAAAAGTAGGTGAAATGCAACTCTTAATTATCTCAGAGTGTGAAGATAGTGTAGATGAAAAGAGAAAATATTTGTACAGCATTCATTTTACTTTATTTTTCCATAGTCAAAGAAAAAAAATCTAAGTCTTAAGTGCTTAGTCTGCCTGTGTGGCACTAGTGTTATTATATATTAATGTCTATACCGTAGGATATTTACCAACAGTAACAGATGGGCTGCTCAGTTGAGAAGCCGTGGCATTTTTGTGTAGAGTGTCAATACATGTCATTCCTGGAATCGAAGCCCATGTTGTGTAGCTAAATGTCTCAGCATACTGCTGTTGTTTCCACTGTTACTGTGGCAGCACTGTAGTCATCTTTTTTATGAAATGAAGCCATGCTTTGGACCGTTAACTTCTTGTTGCAAGTATCCAGCAGCGTAGAGGGTGGCGTCACTGTTTTGCACTGCACAACATGCTGACATCCAAAAAAGAGGAACTGATACACTTGGAGGCATAGGATTCAGATGGATCAGACATTTAGAACTGGTTCTCAACTGGAGCCAGCTCTTGACCTGACCCTAGTATATGTACTGTTATGTTTGCTTGTGCACATGTGAGTGACAGACCTTGATTTATGTCTTGTCCTCATTTAAGTTAAGTGGCTTTTTAGGGGACATTGTCTGCAGACATCTATGCTATTGATTGTGCCTTTGCTAAATGGGCTTTATCGCTGCAGCCACCACAAACAATGTCCTTCCTCATATAGAGGTAAATCAGTACATTTAGAGTAAGGTTGGCTTTCTGTTTGTGAGACTGATTGCATGCTTGAACTGTGGTCAGAAATGCAAAAACCCTCTTATAGATCATGGCAGAGGTACATGTCATGGTATAGAAGAAGAACCACTGGCCTTCTATCATCTAAAGGGCATTTTTGAGAGCAGGATTTTCTGTCTGCAGTAAGAGGAGTCCAGCTAGTGAAAATGTCATCTTTAAATGTCAAATGCCTTTTCTTACCATATCAGTGTTAGGTATGATGTGGTGTGACTGCGTTCAGACACATCAGACGGACAGTAGTAATATCAAAGTTAATTAGAGTCGCCATCCAGCTCTGCAAACCCAATCATCTCTCAAAACAATAGACAATGAGAAGATTGTGTTTTAATCGCCTCTTTGTTTATTATTGCATGTGACTGATAGTGCGGCTCTGGGCTCTGATTTACAGATGAGCAGGAGGCTGTGCAGAAAAGGACATTCACGAAATGGATCAATTCCCACTTGGCAAAGGTAAGAGAGTCTGGTTGATTCCCACTGCTGCTGCCAGCATTGTGTTTTCCCTTTACACAAACGCTGGTGCTGGTGGATTGAAAACTTATCCATCTCACTGCTTTTCCACTTCCAATCACTCTGCTCTTCTACACTCTGTCCTCCGTGCTCTCTGTGACTTTTGCTCCATTTCCAAAACGCTGTGGAGCTGGTCATGGGACTGACTGTGCCAGCTAAGACCACACACACACATTCATTCTTACTCGCATGCCTTTCATGTTCCTTTTTATTCCTCCAATCTCATATAGCTCGTAGCAAGGATTTACTTGCACTCTAATTATCGCTTTCATGTTACAGCATTTAATACACTGTATATCTTTTTTTCCTGCAAGCTACTGTCAATAATTTAAGTCTTAGTAACCTGTAAGCTCTTTATCTCAATATGGGCCAATTTAGATTGTTCAGGATAAGAGTTTTTAGTTAAAGACTGCCCTTCATTTGCCTTCTTAATGAGCTTGAACACCCGTATATCTGTCCCTTAAATGCTGAATTACACTTGATGCTGCTGCGTGCTGAGGGTCTATTGTATGGGTGTAATTATTGCATTATACTGCATTAGCCTCCTCAGTTTAACTCATTACTGCTTGAATATTGTGTCAGGAATGGGTGGACAAGGCAAATATGGCACAGTGCAACACAATTAAGTGCTATTTCAATCTGCAACGCTCCTTTCAAAGTTTCCTATTTGATTACGACAGCTGTGGAGGCCTTGAACCTCGGTGACGTGGAGCAGAAAATTCATTTGAAAAGCACTCTGGAGGGAATAAACCTTGACGTAATATTAAATATCATGTCTCAGGACCGTGCCAGCAGAAAATTACACACAGCCCAACACTTAAATGCCTTCAATTTTTAATAACGTTTAGGTAAGCACATAGTTTATTTATTAAGTCATTTTGACGCAACAAAGTAGAGCTGCAGTTCTTTTGCTATTTTGTGGTCTCTGAAAATGTTGACATTTGAGTGATTCAGGAAAGACAATGAGAATTTTGAGGAATAATAAGGAGAGGAAACCCCAAAACTTCTGAATTAAATATATAGTATAAAGAAACAGTTAAACATTTTCGGAAATGTACTTATTTGCCGTTGTGCCAAGAGTTAGATGAGAAGATTAATATTTCTTGCAGATCTGAATTGTAACTATGTAGCTGGATCCAGCAGTTAAGCTTAGCGGAAAGTCTGAAATCAGTCCTCGGAATGCCTACTAAGTTACAAATTATCATCAAATCATTTTAAGACCTAAGTGTAAAAACAACAATTAGCTGTTTAACAGGAGGTTATGACCTGAACTATTTCCTGGCCGGCAGCAGTAAATTCTTCACCTTTCGTTATGTGTCAGCTGCTTCAAGCCGGGAAATAGTCCAGCACAGAACATTCTGGAAACCACAACATGTCAGTTTTGCAGTTTTAATGTGACGTAAGCTTTTAAATTGCTGGTAGGTGGATATTGTTACCTTCAGATTGAGCTAGGCCAGCTTGTTCCCTCTGTTTCAAGTGTTTAGGCTAAGCTAAGCTAACAGTCTGCTGGTTTCAGCTGCATATTAAGCCTACAGACCTGAGAGCAGCATTGCCCGACTCATCGAACTATTAGCCGGAAAACAGATTATTACCCAAATGTCTGTCTAACTAACTATCATGCTCATTTTTCAGGTTCACGCTTGTATTTGAATTTTCTACTCGAACACGTTTACATGCTTAAATGTTCAAAAACACATTATTTCCCTCATACCGTCTGTGCTGGAACACCTGTATTCACCCTCTATCTGAGACACTCTGCCTGTCTCTTTAAGCCACCCTCATAAAAAAGCCCAATCTGCTCTGATTGGTCAGCGTTCCCAGGTCTTCTGTATCTCAGTGACTCTGCAATGTTATTGCAGCTGGGGAATGATTGAAACAGAGTAAAATGGCACTTTCTACCATGAAAAATAATATAAAATCATCTAAGCCAAAATCTGTACAACCCGACATGTTTCAGCAGGAATAAGATCTGAAACAGAGGAGAAAATTACAAAATCGGCAACTAAGATTACATGTGTGCCAATGTAAGCATGTAGCTACATGTAGCAGGGTAGGCTATGTAATGTAAATACTTGGATTAGGGTGCCTGGAGCAGATGACCAGATAAAGAAATCCATCAAGAGCTGGCATCATCTTGTCTCAAAAGTAGAAAAAACAATTGGAAACAGAGTATTCAGAACGGTCTGAAGCCTGAGGTTTTTGCTCACAGGGATTACTTCACCTATGTTCACCTTATTTTTTGGCCAAGTTTTATATAAACATCCAACATTGTAACAATATATATGCGAAAGTCGCTAGCTCTGAGAGTTTCACTGGGGGGCGAGGAGGGACATCTAGGCATTGGTTTGATAGAGGAAAGTTTACCACAGTTAATTTATACATACTAACCACATTGTTTTGATAGAAAGCTGATTAAATGTTGGCAAAGTATCCTTTTAAAGTGCAATAACATAGTGTCTGATGTACCAATTGTCCTAAAACTGAAGCCCAGTTCTTGATACAAAAACACCAATAAACTGGTTTGTGAGAGAGCCACGACATGTCATTTGAATTTCCTTTTAAATGCACTTTAATTAACCGATTCAACTAATCAATAGATGAGTGATATTATCACACAGGTCCTTCAGAAAAGAGATAACATTATTTGTTCCCCACGCCTCTTTCTCTACCTTGTTGATCAAATTAGTTGCTCTCCTCCTCCTCGACCATCATGAGACTGCTTACCCTTTCACCTGATGTCAGACGTTGCCATAGCGACACTGATTGGCCTATATTTGTTTTCAAAAATGTCTTGGTTGTCATGGCAGCTTGGTAACTGTTCGGAGAGCTTTGTGATGAGTAGGGAGTAAAAGTTAATTCAGCATGTTTCTTGAAGATCTCATTCTACAATCTATATGAGATAAAATGGCATCCTATGGGCTCTTCTCACATCTATAAATACTCAAAGAACCATCTAAAGAGACACATTAGGTGAAAAAAATGTGTGAGAGAGACAGACAGCCAGATAGGGAGAGGAAAGAAGCTTTAACAGTTTGTTTAGCTTTGCTCTCAGAAGGATAGATCATGCCCTTGGCTATGCAGATGATTAGGCCACTCCAGTTATCACAGGTCTTTAATTCAGCGCCTAAAGGTATGTGATTAATCGTTAGGTGAGTTGAGACATGGCATGAGGCTTTCCTTTCACTATCACTCCCCTCCCCCTTACTTTTCCACTCCACAGGTACAACAAAAGAAATCTTATGAGCTCTGACAAAGAGTTTCTATGAGGGGATGTACTGGAGCTGGTAATTTATACAGAAGATTAATGACTCTCATTACTTGGAGTAGTTCACCAGATTAAGTCACTAGTGATAGACCAAAGGTATAAACTGTAAAACAGCAGCAGGGCAGCACTTTTTGCAGGTTGTTTCTTCCATTTAAAAAGAGGGTAATGCTGTTTAGACCCTTCAGTTATATACGATAGTGTATATTGCTTGAATTTTGCTCACAGTAGTAGAATTTTGGTTCCCATTTATGAGGCTTGTTGCACAGATGCACTCCGCACTGCGGAGTGCAAGGGGGGAATTCACTGAGCGGGCCCCAAGTTTCCATTTTGACAAATCCTTTCTGAGAAGGTTAAAGCTTAATTACTAAGTGACCGGTGTGAGTGGTGGAGGTCTCATAGTCGCTCAGGCGTTTTCCAGGCAAACAGTTTGAGTACAGTAATCAGTGAACCAAGTGTTCTTGGAGATTACAGCAGCAGTAAAGTGAAGCTCCCAGCTCCTCTCTTAGTGTTTACTCCCCTGCTCCCCCATCTTTCTTTAGTGGGGGAAGAGGGGGATTGAGTGGATGACATACTCTATGCACACTAAAATTCAAACCCAGCACATCATGGTTCATGGTATGTGCCGCAGTCAACTTTGCAGCAAGGATGTTTTCCATATTTTTTTTACTTTTACAACCTGCCAACTGCTCTTGTGGCCTCTTAGTTTTCCTTAACACAAAATTTGGTACAGACATTCATGGCTTCCAGAGGATGAATCTTAATTCTCATTCCTGCGAAAGTTGTTCAGTGACAAAAATGAAATTACCCAGATGATCAATGCTGCTTCCACATCATTGTTCCCATAGAGCAGGCACACCAGACACTTCCGGCCTCTGACCGGCTGCGTGCCTTAGTACCTGTTGGTGCATGTTAGTCCCTGTGTGGGTGCATGCCACTGGCTAGCTAATCAGTGCCGCTCCGTACTGCGCCCATATGGCAGTTACAGCTGATAACGCTGTCCTGGCCCACAGCATCATCACTAATGTGTGGCATCCATCTTCTAGTCCCCCCCTACAAAAACACTGCTGGCTCTGTCAGCACTGTTGCTGTAGTAAGCACTGTTTGCTCTGTTAGCATGTTTAGCTGCTAGCCACTGGCTCTTCCACCGTATACGGACAAGCTGAATCAGACGCTGAATTATAGATATGCTCTAAATGTTGTTTACAGCTCCTTTAAAGATCCACTGACTTTTATTGATTGAGTTTGACATTTATGGTTTTGAATGATTGTTCTCCACAGTTATTGGATGGGTTGCCATGAAATGCAATACAGATATTTATGCTCCTACCATGACAAATTGTAATAACTTGGTGTTTCTCTAACTTTTCAGCGGCAGGTCAAAATTTCAATTTGTCCAACCTTTTTGTGTATGACTAAATACCTGCAGAAAACAAGTAACATTCCCATCAGCCTCATCTTTGGGTGTGTTTAGTGCAAATTAGCAAAGGTTAGCATGCTCACACACTAAACAATGTACTAAATAAAGTAAAACATGTACCATGTTACCATGGTCATTGTGAGCATTTTAGCACACTGATATTTAGCTTGAAGCACTGCTCTGCCCAAGTACAGGCTAGCAGAACTGCTGCAATGATTGTAGACTAGTTGTTTTGTTCTCCAGGATAAAATTATAAATGACGCCAAAATATGATGTCTGCCCCACAATGGTTGAATTAATTAGAGGTGTTTGTTAGCCATGTAGTGAGATTTTTTTTTTTTTTTAAGTTTTACTAATATTGTAGTCTGAGTGGGCAGAAGTTTGCTGCAGAGATCAGCCTCTCATTGGGCAGAACGAGCCACCCGCTGAAGTCCCGCCCTACCACCTCAGGTTGTGTAGCAGTTTTCAACCGTTTTCAACACGTCCTTTACTAACTTTTGCGGTATTGATCTTGCGGGGATGTAGCCATTTTTCTGCCATGGTTTCGCGTCTTGTAGGTGATATTTTTGTGGGCGTGTTACACCAAAACCTGTTTCCCCCTGGCAATATTTTTGCAAGCGCACCATTGCTGCGGCACTGCCCAAAATGATTGTGATTGGTTGAAAGAAGTACAAGCAGCCGGGGTGTTTTTTTCAATCTCACAAAACAACCACAAGGAAACACAAAACCTACAAAGACACGGCAGTCTTACTCCTGTGGAAGAGACTTAGTGGGGCCTTTTGCATATCTGTGCCCAGGGGCCCACTGTCTCATAATCCACCCATGTATGTAATGGAAGATATCCTATAGGCAGATATACTGTATATTGTCAGTTCTTTCCATTGTTGATATCTAAGCAATAAGGTAAAGGTCAATTTCCATATGCAGTGTTTTTTTAATTGACAAGTGCAGTCCAATCATCCCTTGTTGCAGGGTTTGCCTGCAGCCATGTTCATGTGATAGCTTTCTTGCTAACATCTACAGCTAAGAACATTTTAAAACAACATTTATCCGGTGCTTCAAGTTTATACAGGATTTTGCCAAAGTATATGTGAGTCTAAAAGTTATTCACATTTTGGCTTTTATGTTCAAGAATGCCTTTTCAGAAGCTTTCAAATAACTTAACCTTGAAAAGTTTTGGTCAACAAGCATCTGGTGTCAATTGTTCCTTCAAACTGGCTGTATTGCAATTCAAAATGAAACCCTTCAGTCTTCTCTTTGTTTCTGCACCTCCCTCTGTCTTTCATGCTGTTGATCTTTCGGAATCCACTACGTCAAGTGTACCAGGGGGAATAACATGAGAGCGCAGACAGACGCACATCCTGAAACTCCTCTTCTCACAATCAATTATGGCCCAGACACTTATATGTAATTAGCTCATTAAGACCTTGATTTATTTTTTTTAGCTCACGCAGCTGAGCAGAGGAAATGGATATTACTTTCTTATTTTGTAATTAGTCAGAAATTTCCTCATTAGCTTTGGGATTATAATGAACAAATAGGTAAATTTAACTTCAATTAGCTCATGGTATAATCTATCCCTTTGAAGGGGTCTTTGTAAGTGTTTCTTCTGTCACTTTATGATAGGGGCACAAGTGCTGTCTGGATATTCTAATATCCAAAGCCATGAAATGACATTAGAAGAGGAATTAGCGAAAAGAGCTGCTGTATTTGCTAATTAATTTTGAAAGACGCGAGGTTAGTGTCCCTTCTCGCTTTGCCTTCTATCATTTTTCTCGCTGCCACTCTTTCTACTCAATTATACCCCTTTTGCGCATCCACGATGTTGGGGGTTGTATGTTTTTTCCTCTTTCACACCACACACACATTCCACTTGCACGTGCTAACACAGACACTCACGCACACATCCCTGCTTCCGCCGTTTTTCTGTCTCTCTCCTTCACTCCCTTTGCCGCTAATCTCCCTGTGAATGGCTCGCTCGTCTGAATGCTTTCCCCCCCTCTAAACCTCTCCTCAGCCCCGGCATGTGACTGTGCTTTAAGAGAAATCCTTGATGTGGCGCCGGCAAGAAACGGAGATATGTGGATTTCCCCGAGTCTGGAAGTCTGTGTCAGGTCAGGGAGGAAGTCAATGAGGAAGATATAGTTTGAAATCATCAGCATATTTTAGGATTTGAGGACCCCATTCAGAGCCTGCTGAGCCTCTGCTTACGGCTGACGCTAGCTCTCAGTAATACTTCACTGACAAACTCTTTTGGGGCTTCAAGTAATTTTTTTATGGGATTTCCCTTATCCATGTTTCACAAGTTGAAATTACCGTCTTACAGTGTAATATATATATTGTATTTTGGTTGATTTATGCACTGTGCCACTTAGAGTAGGATAATTTGTAGAAAAAATGTTGCCTGCCTCTTAGTTTCTTTACATTGCAAGAGCTTTAAGGCTCAAATCCCAGATTTTTGCATTCCACAAAAACTGAGAAAGCTTTGTGTAAGTTTATGGCATGCAACATGTAAGTAAACAGTCAGTTTATGTAACTACTTATGTCTGGGCACCTCTTTAGAAATGTCTCTTGGACAGCATTAAGTTGTTCATAGAGAAATAGAAGACATTTATACTTGTTTTACTTGCTCTCATTGATTTTTCAATGTCAAAAGTCAACTCTTTCCATTCCCCCAGGCATTACATCATTTCCATGAATACTTGTTTTAACCTACAGTTTAAAAAAGACTGAGGTCATAAACATTTTTACAATAAAGGCTCATGGGTATGCTTGTTTTCTCATATAGCGTGTCCCGCCTCTGGTGGTGACAGACCTCTTCGAGGACATCAAGGATGGCGTGATGCTACTGGCCCTGCTGGAAGTCCTCTCCGGACAAAAACTGGTAAGTCTCACGGTCATTTCTGCAGCATGTGATTTGGCCACAGACTTCAAACACTTCATATCCTCTGATCTCTCTGGATTAAATTTTAACTTGATCTGACATAACGAGGATCAGACTGGTCAAATAACAGAGATTCAGTAATTTTTTATTGTTGTTTATCTTTGTTTTTTCTTTATATAATAAGAGTGGTGCAGGTATGAGTGGCTTTTTTTGTAGGCCAACCTGTAAGTTAGCGTCACCCTGGTTCCCCCTCAAAAAGCCAATGGAACTTTTTCACTGGATTTTGGATTGTTGCAGAAAAATAGGCCTTGTGGCAAACAACAGTTTATGATACTTAAACATTTTGTCTAACAAGATCATTTTCACAAATGAACACCACTTTGATGATTTTTGAAGCATAAGTGAATTCACCAGAAGTAAAAAGCTTACATTAAGCTTTAAACTTACCACACTACAGTCGCATGATTTCAACAACATCCCCACAAGGCTTCCAACCCACAGTCTGATTATGCACAATCACTCACCTCCTCTACAAAAGCCTTTCCTCTTAGCATGACCTGATCTAGCTAGTTTCCATGTCCTCGTCAACTGCCAGTCTCACATCCTTTTTTAAGGACAACCAAAAAATTGTTGCGGGAGTATTAACACATCAAGTTTCCATGTTTGGCTTGATGACGCTCTGTAGTGTCAGTTATCCACTTATTAGCAACCGCCTTTTTAAGGGTGCTTTCACACCGTTTGTGTGGTGGTGCGGTTCGTTTGCGCAGGCATTGCACTCCGGTACTAATCAAAACAATCAGACCTAGACCTCCTTGAAGAGGTGTTGTCGGTCCGGTTGATAATCGAACTCTGGTGCGGTTCTTTGGTGGTGAGAACATGTTCCAACCTCCATCCGAACCAACTGCAGTCACATTATGCATTGTTTGGGTTAAACTTTTTTTTTTCCTTTAAAGAAATGTTTTTGGGCATTTTGTCTTTAATGGATAGGACAGCTAAGTGTGAGAGAGAGAGAGAGAGAGAGAGAGAGAGAGAGAGAGAGAGAGAGAGATGACATGCAGCAAAGGGCCACAGGCTGGACTTGAACCTGGGCTGCTGTGGCAACAGCCGCACATTTATCTTGCAAGTGTACTCTTGTTCGTTTTCTTTACTTCCTGGATTTTTCCCACATTGAAATTCTGACCAACCTTTGAAACTAAATTAGTCCCTGAGTCGGACCAAAGCAAGACAACTCTAGGTCTGAAAGCACAAAAAAGACATAAATCACAAAACATGAAAAAAAAACTCTTAAGCTTGTGTTAACCACAGACCTTCTTTCAGGCATTTGAGAAAATACCCATCGACTTGAAGACAAAGGAACTGGAAGTGCTAGAATGCTAACTCATTTCCAGGTTTAAGGACTCATTCCTGCACCACCCTGTAACAGTCAGTGTATATACCATAAGTGTTATTTACAAATCTCCAAAGAGCTACAGACTTAATGCAGTGCATGTGAACTGAGCCACAGCTAGATGGAAATGCTCATTGATCGGCTTTTATTAGGATGTTTGAATTGAATAGAAAAGCCCAGATTAACAAGGACAGATCATAGTTCACAAAACACAACACAGACAAAAACATTCACACCCAGCTTGAGGATTTCACTCGGCCAATATTGCCTCAGGTCTAAGCTGTCTATGTCCTATTGATCCAGCCGATTATAGTTAAACACATCTGTGATAGGACCTCTCTCTCTTTCTCATTTTATCCCTGATTTTTTCTTAAAATGCTGCTGATAATGTTTATACTTTACTAAGTATGCTCTTACATATTGTGCTGTAGCATTCAAATTAACTTATCTTCTTTTCAGTTATACTGTTTTTATTTTATCTACATTATTTATTTGTGAAACTCTGTTTCTCTATTTCTTTCTTTCCATCCCCATTGTTCTCATTTTGCCTCGCAGCCATGTGAGCAGGGCAAGAAGCTAAAGAGGATCCACTGGGTCGCCAACATCGGTACAGCTCTCAACTTCCTTGAGGGTAGGAAGGTAAGAGTTCAGGGTCTTCTCTTTATGTTTTTTTTTTCTTCTTCTCTGATTTACCCGTCCTGCTCCTCTCCTGCTCAGCTGCTGCCCTGTGGGTATAAACATTGAATCTTGACCTTGTGTGACCTGTTTCCCCTTCGTCCCCGCCTCTTACTCTCTCCACCTTCCCGCATCCCTCATTTATCCTGAAACCAATATCCTCTGTTTTCACATCCCTGCAACAATTTTGTTGGGTAAATAAATGAAACACTGGCTGACATTGTTCACATTTTGTCTTCATTCAAGTGCCCTTCATTTAGTTATGTGGCTGCCTATAAATATCAAAAATTCTCTAAAAATGTAATTATTGGACTATGACTTTACTAATTCTGTCGCTTTAAGTGATCGTCTATATTTGCTGGTCACACCACACCATGTGCACTTTATGATGTTCTCTCCATACTCTCCAGTTTTCTTTCTGTCTCTCAGCATCATTTACAGAATTTCATCCAAATATGCTCAGTGTGGTTTTGGATATAATCATCTAACTGCATCAACTGTCCCTCTGTGAGATTAGTAAAACATTCTCAAAGCTTCACCCAGCTCGTCCTTGGATATACATAAATAAAGCCATAAGTAGGAGCTGGAGTCTACAGGGACATTGATTTGTCTTCCTTGAGTGCAACAGGGTTAAAACTGCAAATCCTACACCAGTAATCTGCCGTCTGGAGATGAGACGTCAGTGGGCACTCTGCTGTATATGCCTGTGTGTGTGTGTGTGTGTGTGTGTGACTGTGTAAATCTGTGAGTGTAGAAAATTAAATGTAAATACACTCTGTGTGTAAATCTAATGTATGTCTAGACTGTATTTACATTTTGCTTTAGAGGCCCAATCGCTTTAATGCCTGATACATTTTTCTCTCTTTCGTCTGTATCATTGGAAAACATTGTTCCGTGTGCAGTGGCATTATGATGTTTACCATTACATTAATTGTATCTGTAAACTGTTGAAACCCTGTGATAAATGTATTTAACTGGGAGTTTTAAACCCATAGCTATAATGTGTCAACAAGATCTGCAACACTTATTTACATTTTTGATGAATATCTGTTTTTTTTTTTTTTTGTTTCTATTAATCTATTAAACCACGTCAGAAAATTGTAAAAAAAAAAAAAAAAAAAAAAAAAATCCACATCACAATTTCGTAGAGCCCAATTTGACGTCTAAAAATCGCTTTCTTTGTCTGACTAATGCCCCACTCACTTTATAATTCACCTTTTAGTAGCTTAAACTAGAGCAAGAAGGCAAAATGTGTGTGAAAATGCCATTATGAAGTAAGTATAATTGTACTACTGAAATCTATTGGCCTTCAAAACATATTAACAGACTTAAAGGTCCAGTGTGTGAGATTTGGGGGCTATATTGGCAGATATAATATATATATAATAAAGTATGTTTTCCTTTATGCGGAATCACCGGGTCTGTTTGTTCTTGAGAGGAAGAGACCTCTGCATATAATTCAGCTCTTGGTAAAAACCACCTGAACAATGAAGTCTAAGGGGCTGTGTCCACTGTTGCGTTTTTTTGTTTTTTTTCCTGAGGCCAGGGCATTTATTTATTTCTTTGCAATGGGAGCACCATATATTCAAGCGTGACGGGGCACTGAGCTGCTATTCTGCGCTGAGTGCTGCATTTTTGGCATTTTATTTTCTGAGCGCGAGAGTAAAAAAAAAAAAATCAACTCTGAGTAAAACACCGCGCCGTCGCCATGCAGTTACAGTGGAGGAGGGACAAATACCACAACGACCAACTGTCACATTTTACATGTACAAGCCTGAACAACAACAATGGAGGTGAAATATGTCAATATAATGTATACATATCAATTTGTGTTTCCTCTCGTGAACTCATGTACACCGGATGATCCGTTCTCTCCCCCGCACTTACTTCAGCTTGCCCTTCAACCAGAGCAAGCACTCTACCTTACGCCACTTTTTACTTTCACAGATACTCCGTTTCGTAGCAGTCAGACACAACTGAAAATTCTGCACCTCTGTAGTGCTCTCATGTGCTCCCAGCTCAGCATTTCCATAGGAGCACCTGGCTTTTCAGCTGGGAAAAAACTTTTTGGTGGACACTAAAAAGAGTCCTAATCACAAGTTAATGCTTGGCACACAGGAGAAGTTTCAGCTGGTTGCAATCTGCAATCCTCCCTGCTAGATGCCACTGAATCCTACACACGGCTCCTTTAAGAGAAAACCTTTGCTCGGTACAGATCCTCACAAAAAATGTCTGTAAATAATGCAGACTATACTGTTTACCTATGCACTGTTGGCTCCAGTGCAACCACCACTGTATTGTTACCTGTGTTCTTTTTTACTGTTGTGTGTGGTCACGACACAAAACACTTCTGTTAACCATTCCAGCTTCACACCGCTGTGTTGAGTTGTTGGGATGACCTGCTGTGTTTTCTAATATGAAACTGTGTATTGCATGTATTCTTATCAGCCACTCTCCCACGCTGCCCTCGCCTGCCCCCAATCTCTTCCTCCATGCTTGTTCACCTATACGGAGTGGCTTGTATTACCATATGATGACCTGTTGTGATGCAGCGCCTCAGTAATATAACCCTGTGTGTGATCATATAGAATACTTCATCATATCAGTAGATACAGCCCTCGCTTTCTCCCTCTTCTTACTCCACCCTGCATCACCCTCTCTCTGTCCGTCTCTGCTGGATATAATCCCTGTTGCCTGTGTAGCGGTGATAGATCTCTCCTCTCAACCAACCACTCAAGTTATCACACCTCAGAGATGCTACAGTATCTGTTAGCTCACAGTCAATGAGCCGTCCTCCGTCAATCAAACACATCTAAATGCTCCCTCGCTCTCTTCCTCTCTCTTTTCTTTTTTCTTATCTGCCCTCCAGTCTGCCTACAGAGGATCTCCGGTCAGTATTCATAACATTACTGGTTCTTTCAGGACATGGAATAGATAGGGTCAGGATTATCTGCATCCAGTGGTGCTGAGGATTATGCTCATACTGTATATTGTTCATTTTGTGTAAACATATGTATGAGACAGAGTGACCAGATTGAGGAATATTGTGTGTACTTAATCCTTATGTATGAGATCATAGTGACTTGTAAGCAGATAAACTGGAATTGATTGCAATCTGGAATTATTAGGTTCTGTTATGAGATATTAAAATATTGGATATTGTGTTTGTTACAGATCAAGCTTGTGAACATCAACTCCACAGACATTGTTGATGGACGGCCGTCAATTGTACTGGGGTTGATGTGGACCATCATCCTCTATTTCCAGGTAACGTTGCCTTGAGTTCATCTGCATACGTTTTATTTATAGACTGTATATAAACATGGATGACACACCTCCACTTCCTCACGCTGTACACAAATGAAGCCAAAAATAGCCCGGATACAGGCTCTGCCATCTTGCCCTGGTGATATCATTTGGAGCCGAGTCTGCACAGTAGCAATCAGCTGATGGAGTCCCGGTATCGAGGTCCAGCTCATCTGTTCGACCCAGTCTCAAGCAGCGTCATTGATGGCTAGCACACTGATAGAGACACACAGCTGTATATCATAATGTCAGAACCCTTTTTTGTAGCATCACATAACTAGCTAAAGTAAGCTTATCAGAAAACAAACACTTGAACATACATCGGTGTGATATGACCATCTTGGGTTAGAATTTATTTGACGTGTACTCCGATATTTTAGTTTGGCTCATGTCCCAACCGCTAACAAGAAGGGGGCAGGGTTTATGACCTAAACTACAGCCAGCCACCAGGGGGCGATGGAGATGTTTTGGCTTCACTTTCAGGGATCTTAATCTTTTTGGTCATCTGTGCTGTTAATCAGATTAGCAAATGCAGTGTAGATCGTTCAAGATATTAGATTTTTGTATTGAAACAAGAGATGGTTTTTGGATCAAACAGTTCTTGGGAGTTCCCCTGTAACCTACATATCTTCGAGGACTTATTCTTGTTTTCATTTGTACCTCCAATAGGTACATTCAAGAGACTAGCCCTCTATCACAGATTCCTATAATTAGCTTTGATGAGTCAAAATCGCTTTGTTTTTATATGTTGATATTTGTTCAGAAAAGCTTGGACTTCAGTGTCAGTCAGTTTGTGCATGTTTTCTGTCATTTTTTTTGTCATGAGCTTTTGTCTAACAAGCGAACAAGCTCTGATTGGAGGGAGAGCTAACCACGCCCACTTAGGAGACAGGAAGAGTAACTGTTTTCTTAACATTGGATAAGCCTACGGTGGGGTATCTCCTTTATCCAATATCTCTGGCCGCTAGCACTGTTTGAATGTTCTGGAAGGAGGCACTTGGACGTAAATGGTGACATGCCATGGGAATTTCAAAATAAAGGTCTTTCTTGTCTAGCTACACTAGTGTTACGTATGGATGGTTTTACTTTGCATTGATGATACTGGATCATGGATCATTGAACTAATATATCGATCAGTGTATCATTACATCCAGTGTTGCCAGATCTTGGGAGAGAAACAAGCAACCAGGGCTCTGGAAACAAGCCCAAAAGAAGCGACTATCATGCGTTTAAATAACTTATTAGAAGGATATATAGAGAGAAAGGTGACGTTTAGAGAGCAAGCCCAAATAAGCAACTCCACTTGAAAAACAAACCCAAAGTCGTGGTTTATAAACGGACCTGGCAACCCTGATTACATCCCTAAGAACAATGAAAAAGTTCCTTCAGTCCAAAATCGCCCAGAGACCAAACAAGGAGACAAAACTTGATGTTAACTAAGTTTACATCTTACATCTAAGTGAACATCTTAATAAATTATGTCATCAAATCACCACTAATAGCTCACTACTAAGGCTTAAAATTGACATCTACGTTGCTGCCATATGCACTTGGTTTTGCACATTAATGGCACATCCTCAAACAAGTATCACATCCAGTAAGAAATATGCAAAAACCTAAATCAGTTTCATCTTGTAAACTGGCAGTCCTAATTAGGGAAGCAAGAGGCTTGAAATATGTCTCTTTTTAGCTAGCAAAAAACTAAGCAATTCAGAGAAATGTAAGATGGGAAAATCAATCTTCCAGAGCATCCCTACTGAAAACGAGCAGTTGCTACCTCAGGCATTTCAGACATGCACAGATCAACATGAACTTAATCACAACACTACAGCCTCTTAGCAGCTTCAGCACACAGAGATGTCTGTTATTCCAGCAAACATAAGGATATTAAATAAGGGAAGTGTACGACAGTGGAAAATGTACTTATTCACTTACTGACATTTTGATGTATTTCATTTCACACTGATGTTTATGGATTTTCTGGGTTGTGAGTAGTCTCCGTTTGCTGGCAGTAGAGCGGAGAAACTGAGAAGTAGATTATGTGTGGATAGCAATAAATCTTCGACAACTGACCATCTGGCTGAGCTGAAGTCTAGTAATAGATTTTGTGATTGTTGTCCCAAGTCTTACACATATTGTTTTTCAACATGTGGATGATATCATCAAGGCTGTGGGTTGTTAAATATGGATTATGATTTACAAGCGCACAAAAAAAGGTATATTTTGTAATTTCCCTAAAGGTAAAGTCAGTAAGTTGGAAAGTGAAGAGCAAATTATCTCTTCTCCAGTCTGTCTTTAAATTGCTCTTAAACAACTGGTTTCCTCTTTTTTTCAGATTGAGGAGTTAACCAGTAGCCTACCGGCACTTCACGCTGTCTCCAGCAGCACTTCTTCACTGGACAGCTCCACCAGCAGCACTGACACCACCAGCCCACCTGTCAAAAGAAAACCCCTCCCACCTCTGCAAGGTGGAGCCAGAAAGGCCCTGCTAAGATGGGTCCAGCAGACAGCAACCAAGTACAAAGCCTTCCATACAATCTGTCCTGCTTTATGTAAAATCCCTCCACACCATTATCAGTGAAACTTGTGCTTTTTTCCCATGTGTTTGTGATGCTCTGTTCTTTGTAGACGTCTGGGGATTGAAGTGAAGGACTTTGGCCCCAGCTGGCGCACAGGGTTGGCATTCTTTGCCATTATCAACGCCCTTCGGCCCAATCTAGTTGACATGGAGCATGTTTGGAGGAGGCCCAACAGAGAAAATCTTCAGGAAGCCTTCTTCTTGGCTGAGACACAGTTGGGCATTCCTCAACTTCTAGACCCCGAGGGTAAATGGCTGTTTCTATCATATTCCTTAGTTAGTTTGTCATTAAAGAAATACTTCTCTCCCCACATGACAATTTATGTATCAACTGACCTTTTGCTAAGTCCCGCCCCTGGACGCAGACTGGCCAATCATAAAGTAGCATCGGGCTGGGTCAGACCAGGGTCCGGCAGCAACACAGCTGTGCTCCATTGACTCTAATGCAATCGTTTCAGATTTCCTTCATTTTCAGGCTGATTTTGAAGATTTGAAGCTAAATGTTGTGACTGGGGCACATCATGTATTAATGATACTCGTTACCTGGAGAGGTTGGAAAAAGACATACGTTTCTTCCCTGTTCCAAAACCAAAATCAAACCCTGAAAAGTGTAGGGTTAGCTAGCTAGCTACTGAAGATATAGCCTACTGAATGTATACACGTGTTGCTTTTGCTTTTTAATGATTATAACAGTGAAAAAAAGACCGATCCTGCTGTACAGGAACCAGTGAAGGGAAGCAGGGAATCTTTGATGATATTGGACCAGCTGTGTGTCATCACAGTGTGTACAGATGAATGTTGTTTGACTTCCCCCATAGAGGTCCGGGTGCTGGCAGTGGCACGGGGGTGAAGCCAAATACCGTTCATCTGCACACGCTGTGATGCCACACAGCTGGTTCAATATCGGCGAAGTTTCCCTTATATTCATCGTCTTCTGTGGCGATCAGCAGTGATTTGGTGGTTCACTTTTACACTGTGATCTGTAGCCTATAGTTCCGCTTTAGCTTCTAACTATCTTTGTCTTTTTAACCTGTTGTTGCTGCTGAGTCAGTTTGACATCCTGGATATATCCTTCAAACACAGACTGTAGACCCCTCTGTCTGCTTCTCTCTGGAATCACTGTTTCAGTTTTCAAAAAATATGATAACATTTCTTCAGGGAGTGCAGTTAGTTACAGTGTGGGCTCCATGCTTACTCCGACAGCTTGTCCGACCATCACAAAGGGGCGGGGCTTAGCGAAAGCTCAATTACTCATCCTATGTTACAAAAAACTTTGTGTTTCTCACATGCCTCCACAGTGAATGCCAGACTTCATTGTCAAAAGCTGTAATTTTACCTCTCTGAACACAGGAGCCCCTTGTCGATCATTGCCTCAGTCAGTTAGTTTTTTTGTGTTGTTGTTTGACTCTGGTGTTTTTAAGGGCTTTTTCAGATTCACTGCAGTCACACAATAACACAGACAAACTAAATGATTGAAGCAGTGCTGGACCAGCAGCTCCCGTGTTCAGCAAGGTAAAATTACTGTTTTTGTCAGTGGAGTCTGGCCTTGAAGAGACTATAGACAAGGGTCACTTTCACTTCAGTTTCCCATCAGAAAGGGCTGTCTGTGTGTGAAGCACTGAGCATATGGCTGGATAAATGTGAATTGGATTATACTGAGTTTTGTGAGAGTCTGTTAATGGATATTTTGATGTAGTTTAGCTGTTGTTTAACACAGACCCCATTTATTTACTTCATCAAGACTGTTTTACAGTTTTTGCAATCTGAATTGTCCCAATTCAACATAACAGGAGGTTGAGTAATCGATATATAAATGGTTATTTGGGGGGTGAAGTATTCCTATAGTTGATGAAATCTGATCTGAACAACTAACCACATATCTACAACATCCTGGGATAATATTACTTAGACAGTAATTTGCCTCAGTATTACCAAATTGTTTTCTCTTAGCTATATTAAAAGAAAACAACATGATGTTTGTGTTGCTCACTGAAATAATAAGAAAGTATTTACCTTACAGATAATTGAAATCCATAGCACTTTGTCATATCGAGCAGGTTTTTTTCCCCAGTATACTAAAATACAATAGTGGGCATCTGTTACAGCATCAGATGTGCACTTAGTGTCACTTCCAAACACCAGCTGTGCCCCTTCACGCCTGCTCTTCAGAATGAACTCTGACAAATCAAGCTTGACATCAATGTAATTAAGGTCCATTAGGCCATGAGATTCAGCATGGTGGAACCTCCAAACAAAACTTGGACACTGATCTGAAGTGCTGAAGGCTGTTTTCATTTAAGATGACAATTGTCTGTTTCTGAATAGATGCGAGTCAAACTTATTATTTTCCTCTATGGGAGACATTATGGAAGGCTTATCAGCTGGCCTTAGCTTGATGTGAGTTCTGCTTACATTCATTTGGTTTCCTCCTTAGATGTCGATGTAGACAAGCCAGACGAGAAATCCATTATGACTTACGTTGCCCAGTTCCTGAAGCATCACCCTGACCGAAAGCAGAGCGACTCAGACGGACAGCTAGAAGAAGAGGTAACCAGCTGTCAGATTCATCTCAGTCTGGACATGCCATTCTTTGTCTTCTCTCATTTTGCATCCTGTGTGTTCTGTCTTTCTCTTCAGATGTCACAGTTAGTGTATCAGCCACGATATATACATGGATGGCATTTTGTCTAGTTAGTGTTGTGTGCACAGCTGGGTCTTTCTAAACACTGCTTGATGCTTGTTTTAACCTATAAGTGCAAGGTGGGTGAGGCTTTTTTTAAGTCAAGTAAAAGTCAGAGCAATTACAGGAAGTGGATTTTCATATTTTATGATTACTTAATGCTCTCTAAAATGCTGTGATGCAGTAAACAACACCTGTCTGCTATACAAGGTTAAAACAAGCAGTGATTTCAGGTGTTATGTGACTCAGGTCTGGCAGTGCGTTACCTATTTGATGTCTTTCCTTGTTGCACATTTCTCTCTTCGTATCTCTCCTTGTCTTTGTCTCTCTGGTGTTTTTGTGTGGTGGCTGCTTTCCTGTGGTTGTTGTGCTGGCCTCTGTCCTTCAGCATGGTCTTGCTCCTCGCGATATAGAGGAAATGTTGGAGGTAGGTTATAGAGTAACTTAAAGGTCCCAGGGGCAGGTTTTCCATCATTTTCCGCATCTCAATGTAATTAGCACCCGTGCACATTCATGGTTTCCATATAAATGTGATTAATGCATATTTTTCTGTCTCTACTATTGGATTACAGCATCACTGCCTACTGTATAGTGTATGGACGAGATTAAACATTGTTTTTCCATGTCAAAATAGAGCCTATATGCTAATATTGGCTCTTTATCTTACCTGATGTAATATTCCTGCCGCAGGGTTTGAGAGCCATGATAACAAAAGGAAGTCCAGTATAATAAGACGTGATATTACCATTTATTAACGTTACCTCCCGCTATGGCTTCTGGTTCCATTAGCATGACAATGAAAGCCTCTGGCATTGGCAGTGTGCACTGATACAGCGTATTTGATGGAAAGCTTGTGAATAGAGGTTGCCTGTTTTTAAGGTTAACAGTGTCAGGAGCAGCGGTGTGCTTTAAAGCCGCACTAACCACTTGCTTTCTGTGTGTTCTGTTGTCTTACAGCGCTGATAAGGCTTTTGGTGGTTGTTGTGTTTCGCACCTGCTTTGTTCTTTGTTGACACTTCTTGCTAGCACACTGATGTTCGCCCTGAATATTCTCTTTCGCTGAATGAAGGTTAATTGGCACTCATGTTTTTACTTAAAAACAACAAATTTGTTATCATAAATAATAAATAGTGACTGAAACACTGGTTGTAAAGTGATTTGCAGGATAAACGTCTGCTTCCCTTTGGAATTAGCTGCATTTATTTTAGCGTCCTAGGCTGTCATAAAGAATAAGTTTGATGTCCTTAAAGGAGCTTACGTGAAGTAAAAAACTGAATAGACTGAAAGTGAACAGCTCCCAAACTCAATGGACTCATCTCACAAGCTTTTCAGCAGCATAGTATTATCGTCATGGTTACTTAAAATCCATGGAAATGTTAGCAGGGGGTCTCAGACAAAGTACCCTGTTTAAGCTGAGTGTTTTTGGCAGCTGTGGGTTTTTGACGTTTTGTCCTACAGGGAGACACAGAGGATTAGGAGAGCACATGTTTAACAGTACATGCCCTCTCTTTCACCCTCATCTTTTCATCAATCCCTCAAACATTTATTTGGTTAATCACTTTTTCTCTGTATCTCTCTGTTTTCCCCTTCCCTTTACGTTCTTTTTCATTGCTTCTTTCATTTGTTCTTTTATTTCCCCTTTGTACTTCTTCAATTTCCATGTCCATCTCTCCACCCGTTGTTCACCCCACCACTCCTCACCCATCCCGGCCTCCTAGAGAGAGCAGCGAAAGAGCCTGAGGGAGCTCAAAATGTGGCTCAACCAGCTGGAGAGAGATGCAGTACAGGCTCAGGAGACTGAGGGCAATCTCTCTCAACAGTACCAGGTTAGTGTGTGTGTGTGTGTGTGTGTGTGTGTGTGTGTGTGCAGTTTAAACTGGGCACACTGGGCACAGACGTTCCTATTATTAGCTTAATCAGTGGCATTACACTGTGGGGATCAGACAGCAGCCGTCATATTTTCAGTCAATCTGGCTTATTCCACCAAGCCTCAGGATGCTTTCCATATTCAGCAGCATGTAGGATACCCCCATTTTCTTTGCACATTATTAAGAAGAGTCTGAGAATCCGAAGCCAGGAAGAGGGACAGCTTTTTCTAATGGTCTGTTTGGAGAATAATAATGGGACGATGGTGCGACTCCTGAGAGATCTTTTGTTTTGATCTCTGTATCCTGCAACTTTAATATTTTTGGAGCTGTGAATTCTGAGCAAATTTTACTTGTTTCTTTTCAGTCGTTTAAGAGTCTGCGTGTCCAATTGGAGATGAGGAGGAAGCAGGTGGAGGGAGCTCTGCAGTCCACTCAGAAGGATGGGATGCTGACAGTGGACCAGGCTCTGGTCAAACAAGCCTGGGAAAGAGTCTCTAACAGGGTGAGAGATGCAGATTTGAACAAACAACAAGTATGTTTACATGCACACTAATATTCCACTATTATTCTGAATATTA